AACTCTGACCCAAACTGAAAGAGGGTGTAATGGCCAGTTTAAGGTTCCCTCATACAGCATACATACACGCTGCCATTCAGTCTTTGGCAGTATAGCTCACTTTAACGGCTTCGTGTATCAGATGACCAGCGAAGCCTGATGTGATTCTGGCAGGAGTTAGGTTCAGCACTCCAGCGGTAAACTCACCTGTAGGGCTTCTCCATGGGTTGGTGATTTTGTGAACTTTAAGAGGAGCACCAGCAAACTTGGCATAGGCCTTAGAGAGCAATAGACAGAGAAAACATAGAATTAACTCATTCATGCCAAGCAACAAATTAAAAAGTCTTAAGCAACAGTGTAACAGTTGAATTCTGGAAGTGAAATCCCAAGTAATTTTATCCCAAGTACACTGAAAAACTGAAAATCATATTTTTACAGTGTATGGGAACCATTTGTAAATAATCACACCACGACCCTGTGAACAGTGTCTTTTTAGTACTTTTTGGGCTGAAAACATTTCGATTGCAGTTTTCATTCTTATAATGTGGCTTATGTTTCTCTTCATTTTAAAATTAGAAAAAATGTTATCACCGTGACATTTTTTACATTTTTGCTTAAAAGTGTATTCAAGTCATTGTATGTGTGAATCAATGTTATTTTAGTATCACTGAGATTATTATGGTTTTTATTTAATTTTTTTATATTTTCCTTTTTTAGTTAAACTTTTATTAATTTTGTGCACTTGTATTAGTTTTCTGTAATATGTCTATAAAGTTGTTTTTTTTAAGATTTAGTTTTAGTTATTTTCAGTTGAGTGGAAATTAGAAATTTTGCCTTGGCAACTAGTTGCTAATAAAATAATTTTCAGGTTTTTGTATCCTATCTTATGCATGTATGTATGTATTTATTTATTTTTTGGTTAACATATTTTAATATTTCTTTTAATTGCATAAAATGAGTGTCATGTCATTGACACTAATAAAATATGTATTGCATCCAAGACTAGAAATACGTGTTTTATGAAAATCTGTGTATATATATATATATATATATATATATATATAATATATATTATGTGTATATATGAATATATAATGAAAAAATGCACTGTAAGTCTGTCATTACTTTCTCAAGTACTAATTCCATACAGTTGAGTAATAGTAGGGTTGGATCATCAGAGCATTGCTACATTGCTATTGAGACATTTATGTGGGGCTTGACGGGTAAGTCACTAATTGTGCCGTCCAAAAATGTGCTGACTTGAGTTAGTGTCTGGGAGGGTCTCATGTTTGCCAGCGGGGGGAGATCAAATCCTGGACTCACTCCAAGCCCTGTTAGTAAACAACATTTTGCAGGCAGCTGCATTAAATTGAGCGTGGAGACGTCAATTATCTTTCACGCTCAGAAGAATTTATGAAAGTCACATCTCTGAGTAAAGACAAACCTGGAGGAGGAAAAATCAGATCAGACCTGACTGAGATAGCATCTTATTTCCAGCTAGTCTCGAAAGTACCATTAAAGAAGATCAAATGGCAGCGCTGCCGCTCTATAAATTCCAGTGTGGTCTGCGGCTCCCGACTGCTGTGCTGAGAAGGCGTTTCACAGGAAAATAATTCATAGTGTTATCTTTTCTTTGTTTATGGAAAACTACGAGAGTACATGAGTAATAGCATGTCTGGAACAGAAATAAATCATGTCTCTCAAAATTTAAGATGACAAGGGACAATAAAGAATTTAAACCAGTAATAAAATAGGCATAAACACAACATGATTAAGATTATGAGATGAATGGCTCAAACTGGTAACCTGAGAAGGGCCTGAGAAAGAGTCTGGCTGCAGTTAAAGTAATGCTCACCTCGTTCAATCTCACACACAAGCCCGCTGCCTCACTTATTCATGGGCTAATGCTCTGAAACGTGCAAACGATCTTAGAAAACATGAAGGTTTTATGTTGCAGTCCAACCCTTCGGCACTAAACCCACAGTTTGATTATCTTGTAAAGACTTCAATTTTGTACTTGAGATTTGTCTAACAACTGTCACAACTCTACGCACATCTTGGCAATAGAATCGCTATATATATATAATCTGGATGGATGGATGGAATATTCCAAATCAAATCAGATTCTAGTCACAAAATTTAATGATTTGAAAGCATATCAATTAAACTTGAAATCTAACAATGTATTAGCCAGTGGTTAACGACAGACATTATTTAGTTGTCTAGTGTGAAATTTAGTCATATATGCAAGTGATTTACTCAAAAAAAAAAAAAAAAACTAGAAACACTTTAGTGAAGGCAAAAGTCTGAATCTGATTGGCTGACTTCTACAGGTTTTCAAATACTGCAGCAATGAATGCTTGAGAGGAACAACAATGCTGGATTTAAAAAAACACACACACACATACATTTGAGAAGTTCAAAGCATAGAAACTTTAAAAGACATTCAAGCATTTTGTTTGAGGCACTTAGTTGAATTTAAACGAGATGTTTTTGCATGTTTACTGACAAGATTTTCCAGATTCGGCCAACCCTTTGGATTCCCAAGTGATCCCATTTTATTAGTTATGTGTCCTCTCACATCTCTAATAGAAGATCAGTTGAAGAACCCCACTGGGATGGGAATATCTGCGGCATATGCAGGGAAAATACCAACTGTCTGTTACAGCACGCTGGTCTGTTATTGTTACATGTACCCAGCACTAAACATGACGTCGAACAAAACACAACTGTGACTGGTCCCTTTACATGTCAGTCAGATGGCCTCTTCCTGACTAAGTGGGCAGTCCTTGGACCAGCATCATGGGATCGATTCCCAGGAAATGCGTGAAATAATTGAACTCATTTAAACCACTGTTCTGGCCAAAATACATCATCCATAGCACTTCCTCGTTACATTTTTTTTATATTTAAATTACTCATTAAATATCAATCAAATTAAGGAGAAGAGTGTTATAACTAAGTTACAGTCAGATGTACTTTTGCCATTTGAAGAGCTGATTCGTCCTCCATAATCACACTACTCAAAACAAGTCCTGGCAAATTGTATACAGCACTAGTTTTGTGACTGAATTTCTACCATTACCTGATTTGTTTAATTCCCTATAGCTAAGAGTGAAAACAAATTATAAATAAATTTTATTACGAGCAATTAAATTGTGAAACCCTTCTACTAAAGTTAGAAGAATCTAGGTAATTTCAACATTACGGCATTAAAAAGAAACCACAGAATGACTAAATAATAGCAGGATGACTGCCATCCATGCTGAAAAATAGTTTGAATTCAGTTATTATCCTTGTCCTGAAGTTTTGTTTTTCTTCCCGTCACTGTCGGGAAACATGAGAACCTCTCGATTACTGTTTGGTTTTGTGTTTGGGGAGTTTGGATCTCCACACTACGGGACCCTTCACTCCCCCAGCACACACAAACCGCTGGCTGTTTAGACAGCTGTGTCGGTCAGCAGATAATCCTGTCTTTCTCTACCATCATCCACACTGAGTGTACACAAACAAAGACAAGTGATAATAGACACACATGGCCACTACACACTATTATTGATGTCTTCTTTCTTTTTTAAAAACAACAGGACTTTTAGTAGATGTGAACACTCAGCATTTCTGCTTTTAAAGGGGGTGGGGGGTAGGGCTGCCGATAAATCGAAATGGAATTGAGATTGCGATTCAACAGAAGCTGTGATTGTCATGCGTATCTTTCAGTAAAGCACGGTTCTGTGATCAGCAGTAAATCTCCATCCAAAGGCCAGAGGGCGCTCTCGCGCTGAAACTCCAAATACGCCTCGCAGAAGAAACCCAGAAAATGCCTATCGCTGCAGCTGAATAAACAGAAGATTCAACTGCTTTCATTGATTCAACATGACTAATAAACACACGACTACGGCAATATACAGTTTATCTAAGTTCTTATTATAATTTTCATTAAAATAAAGTATATTTATAATGCAATGCCTTTATCACTGCTTAAATACTATGAAATATGTTGCGTGCCTTATTCTGTGTAAGAAGCCACATCATCTCACAGAAGGATTTATTTCAAACACTCGACTGACGTTATGAAGTGAGTTTGGAGTAAAAAT